TGTTGTTGTGTGCTCCACTTTAAACCCTTCCTGATACTATAAAATGTACACTGTATTCGCCTTAGCTGTACCTGCTGTATAGAGCCCATAGGGAACTGCTGTTGGTCTCATTTGCTGTTCCTGTTTTTGCTATAACCTGTGTGTGTCACTTTAAATCCTTCCTGTTACTATAGAATGTAGAATGTATACGCCTTAGCTGTACCTGTTGTATAGAGCCCATGGGGAACTGCTGTTGGTCTCATTTGCTGTTCCTGCTGTACCTTCCTATTACTATAAATGTACATGTACATTGTATAAACCTTAGCTGTACATGTACCTGTTGTATATAGCCCATGGGGAACTGCTGTTGGTCTCATTTGCTGTTCCTGTTTCTGCTGTACTTTCCTGTTACTATAAATGTACATTGTATAAACCTTAGCTATACCTGTTGTATATAGCCCATGGGGAACTGCTTTTGGTCTCATTTGCTGTTCCTGTTTCTGCTGTACCTTCCTGTTACTATAAGTGCACAACTGCACATTGTATAAAACTTAGCTGTACCTGTTGTATAGAGCCCATAGGGAACTTCTGTTGGTACTGTCTCATCTGCTGTTCCTGTTTCTGCTGTTTCTTCCTGTTACTGTAAATGTACATTCTATAAACCTTTAAGTTAGCTGTACCTGTTGTATAGAGCCCATAGGGAACTGCTGTTGGTACTGTCTCATCTGCTGTTCCTGTTTCTGCTGTTCCAGTCTCAGCTGCATCTCCCTCTCCTGTTCCTGCATCCTCTGCAGGGCGATCTGACGCTGGTACTCAAGGTACTCCTGATAACAACAACAACGTCAAAACATTATGATGGAAGCTCATCTGTGTTGGCAGCAATCATAGTATAATTCCAACATGTAATTCCAACACAAAGAGTAGCCGGGGATGAAATGACCAATCACGTCCGAACTTGCGAGAGTTACAGTTACAGACACAATGATCCTGATGAACCATTATCCTGATGACCACCTTTCCACCACCATTCACAGTGACCAGTGTTTGAAGGCATCTAATGCAATTTCAGGGTGAAAAATCTGGAAATATTCTCAATCTGAATAAGGCATGCAATCTGTATGACATTGACACATACTATCCCACATTAGCACATTTGAATCAGTACAATGTATTTTATACGTTAGGCATTTAAAACTGCAGAAACAAGCCCTAAGATTTGTCCTTTATTTTTTGGGTGGTACCCTAAAAATCAATCCAGGTCCTTCCAGTAACCATTTTTTGTCAGAATTTTGGGTATTCATTTGTGCTCCATGAATTGTGACAGCGTTGTTTCAACTTAGTATGTAGATGAGTGACTAGAATATTGACTTTAAAAATCTGGTTTCCAAGCCCTAAAAACTGCATTGGATGCCTTTAACATATTTTAAGGACTGCACATCCAGCAGACCTGTTTTTTCTGCCTCATGAGCTCCAGTTTCTGAGCCATCTGGATCTGTCGCTGTCGCTCTCTCTCCTCCGCCTCGCGCCGCAGACGTTCCTGGTAGTCCACCCGCAGGGCGTCCAGGGCCTGCCGCGCATCCTGGATCTGTGTCAGTTTGTCCTGCAGGGACTCGTAATAACCTGGGAGAAGAACAAACCATCCGTGAATAGTTTGATCAGGTTGGTAAGACACTGAGTAAAGAGACTCTTTCTACACGTCAACCAAGTCTTTTATTCTGCCGACGTTTCGGTGACCGTCTGTCACCTTCCTCAGGGCAAATCTGACTGGTTCACATTGCACTGCAACACAGGTGGTATCCAATCACTCCTATGTGTAGTACTACATAATTATGTAAATATTGTACGTTTGGGAATGCATCTATAACAGCGACATTTTAGTTGTTTGAAGAAGAAGAAGAGGAAGAAACTGAGCAAATTTTAATATGTTTTCCTTCTGTAAATATATACGAGGTTTAAGCCAAAGAACAAAACAGCATGAACTTATTTAGAGATAAAACTCCTGATCCAAAGTTCTATCACCAGGTCCTAGAGCTTTCGACCAGTCACCCCCGCAGAGCTCTGCGCCAAAAGAAGCCAATTCGTTGCTTGGCATCACGGGTTCAGTTTTCTATAGAGCTCTGTAGATATCAAGTTAATTCAATGTGAGTAGTAGGCGATATACAGCCAGTACTGTGTCACAAATAAAGACTTCGTCACGCAACTCTGCGCAACACGGAGAGTTCTGCGCCCTAACAAGTCAATTCGTTGGTTGGCGTCACGGGTTCAGTTTTTCATAGAGCTCTTTATTTGTGACACAGTAACAGACGCAAAGCTATCCCCATGCCAAATAACAGCGCACTAGGCAAAAGCCAAATTGAATGCATTTCCGACAAGTTATGCCCAAAATACATGATACCTGATAGTAGCATTTGTAGGACAGTAAATCTACCGCTTATCACCATAATGATACATTTTGTAGGACAGTACGGTACGAAATCTTTTAAAAAGCAGATTTCTGCGCAGAAATCTGTGCAGATTTCTGCACCCAGCGCAGATTTCTGTGCAGAAATCTGCGCGGGGTGCAGAATTCTGCGCAGAATTCTGCAGATTTCTGCAGAAATCTGCAGAAATAACCGGATCCCTAGGGAACTATCACTGTTATCTACATAGTTGTTGTCATCTTCTACATCACCATGTGGAATGTCAATTGTCCAGGACAAACTAGGCTTGAAAAGTGAGAGGTAGTCCGGAATTAGAGTGTCTGTCCGGAATTATAGTGTCGCCTGTATGTAACTACCAACAGCACAGTTGGACAAGTCCTATTGCCCACTTGCCCAGGGCAAGTAAAAGTACTGTTCGGACAAGTGAATTTTTTGGATGCAAAGTATGGCCGCTATGGTGTTTGGAGCAAAATTACTCATCATTTTGCCATAATCATATAATATCAACGCCTTTTTGTCAGAAAATCCATTGCAAGTCTCAAACCTTGCAAGTAAAAATGTCATGTAAATTTCGGGCAAGTGAAAAGTTGGTTTAGGTAAGTGGAAATGACCATGTACTTGCCCAATAGGGCAAGTGGATTTTTGAAAACTTGTCCAACCCTGAGTTGCAGAAGAAGTTTTATGACAGCATGGACTTACTTCTCTTGTCCTCTAGCTCCTTGACCTGTTGCAGCAGGTGTGGGTGCATGTTGTTGAGGGCCTGGAACAGGGACTGGACCGTGGTGTCGTTAGCGATGTGTCTGCCTCGCATCATGTCGCTCTTCATGCGGTTGTTGAAGATCTCCAGGTTGTTACTGAGGGTTGTGACCAGGTGCTGCTGATCCTCGTCCTCTACATCACCATTCTGGTACTTCTGGGGAGGGAAGAAAAAATGTGTGAGGGACAGCAGGAAAAGGGAAGATATAAGGCTGAAGAGAAGAGAGCTTGACAAGTAGGGAAACACAAACAATGATGCCTATAAGAATTTTGCTCCGGGCCGCAAATCCGGCTGGTTGTCGCAAAATCGTGAGAGTAACGCCGGGCCTCGCGAGGTCTCATAAAATTCCGGTAGCGTACCCTGGGACTTCCAAGGGGACTTCTGACCCAGCCCATGCTGGCTATCGGTCCTCAAAAGTTCTAAAGTTGCCTTTCCTCCGGCTGATTTTTGTTCTGTAAAAAATGTTTCCATCTTGCATCTCTCTTCAAAAGAAAGAGACTATCTGCGCATGACTGGGAAAGAAAGGGCTTTGATTGGAGCTAAAATTCAGTGGGAAATTTGAATCAGCCATTTTCCCCGTCGTAAATGCACAACACAACCGATTTGCAGCAGGGGCAAGTGTCTATAGCATGTTTTCCTGTGCTTGAGCAAGAAGAACAAGAATTCAGAGACCTCAGAACTCCATGAAATACTTAGATCTTTTATGGTGGCACTGGGGATTGTGTCCTCTTCTCATTCACCACGGTGTCTTACTTACATTTGTACAAGTCTTACTCTATCACACCAGCTGTCAGCTGTCAAGGAGGTCATGTAATGAAAAACACCTGTGAAAACAGCAAGCACTACTAGATGCAGACATGATTGGCAACTTTCACCCTCTGAGACGGATTGAACCCAATCATATAATCCATTAGGCCACACCAATTTAATTTCTTGGTTAACAGATTCACCCGCTTCATTTTTTTCTTATTTGCAAAAAAAATTCATAATCAATTGCAAATGCTCATATTTTGCCTTGAACAGTTGAAAACAGTCCTTTTCTTCCTAGTTGTTACAGTCATAATTCCATCTTTCAATGCAATGGTATCATTAAAAGTTCAAAATTCATTGTTTAAATTTTGAACCAGCCTGTTGTTTTCAGCTGTGTTGACTTCATGGCTCCTATCGTACCATTTTGGGCCATAATAGGATGCCTAGGCCTGTTTTTGTTTATTTTTTTCCCGCCCGCTCTACTATTTTTCTAGAAAAATCCGTCAACCAAGAAATTAAATTGGTGTGACCTTACAATCTGACCTACGGGCCATGCAGAAACACACACAAACACACACACACCAAACACAATACTTCCATTTTTCAAGGTACATGTAAATGAAAGGTACAGCAGACCTCTGAAATCTTGGCGACAGCGACAGCCTGGGGAGCGACAGTCCCTACCGGAGCGCTGCCTGCCGTGCTGTTGTTGGGGATGTTGTTGTTGTTGGCCACGGCACCTTCGCTGGCTACAGGGGCAGAGGGTGTGGTGGTGGACGTCTTCACTTCTTCCTGCTTCTTCTCCCAGTAGGAACGGTTCAGGTACCTGGCAAGCTAGACACAGGAATAACTTGTAACATTACTCACTCATACTTTGGAACCAAATCTAACAATTTAAATCATTACAGTTATAAAAAGATATCTGGTCATAATTTTAGTGACATATCAGTTAATAGTTCGTCACAGGTTATAAACCTGTTGATCTTGAGATCTCTTGGATGCTATCTGAGAAGTCTTACCATTTCCAAAATCATAGCCAGTTGAGTAACTGTTGATTTTGCATATCTTATTACCTGGAGGTGGTAGTCTGTAGTTGTACATGTATCCACAAACATACATTATAAAATTGAAGGATGATGCACACACTGAAGATGTGATAGAGGATGAAGAAGAGAACCAATCAGAATACAGGTGAAAATAATGCATATTGTCACACTCAAGTAGGTTTGTGATCAATGGGTTCTGTGAACATAGCACTCACTTCTTCATGTGATATGTTGTTAGATACAGGAAAAAATGTGTTTAGACTTACCTCAGGATCCATCTCATAACTATCATCATTGGATGCTGTTGAGGAAGTCTGTAAATCATAGAATGAGGAAAACTCAAGTAAGACATTTTGGCACAATACATTTACATGTGGTACAAGACAAAGAACGACTATGACAAAAATTAGCAAAAAAAGAAAGGTAAGCTTATAAACATCTTGTTAAAGTGTGAACTTGGCCAGCATATCTTTACCCCTTTTTACAACTTGTAACATGTTTATTTTTACTTTCCTTGGAACCTAAAAATAACCTGTACAACACAAAGTTTACCTGTACGATTACCAGACTATTCTTGGTTTGCCAAAAAGCAGTTACTCAAGCAACTGGATATGATTTTGGATTTTTCATAATATTATCCAGTTTTTGATTTTTCATATCCAGTTGCTTGAGTAACTGCTTTTTGGCGTATCGTATTACCTGGATGTCTAACCTTCATCGATGTATTCTTGGTTTCGTAATTAAGTTGTTGGCAAAATAAAGAAGAAAAAAAGGCCACATGGCATGCACTTACATTGTACAAAGAACTAGAAGCAGGAGGAGTGGAGTTATGTGTTGAAACAGACGAGTAATTGTTGTAATTTGTGTATGATGGTCCTCTCTGGAAATCAGGAGTAACAAAACATAAAAACATAAGATTCTGATGATAAAACAACTTAAAACACACACATAATTTTAACACTGACAGTAAGACAACCTAAGTATATATTCATGCATATGCAAACTTTAAATCTCTTTACATCTTTTCTGCATTTGTGTACACCCACTGTTAACTTAGAAAAACAGATTTTTTTTTCTGTAAATACAGCTAAGGCCACACCAATTTAATTTGTTGTTTCTTGGATTCGCCCGGTCAACTTTTTTCTGATTTGCAGAAAAAAAAAATGATTTTTTTGTTCTAAATCAACTGCAAAATGCTCAATGAAAGACATATTTTGGCCCCAATGGTTGAAGAAAGTCCATTTCTGATTTGCAGAAAAAAAAAATTACAGTGGGAGCCAGTTAATTGCAAAACGCTTATAAGAAAAAGTCTGCTAATTGAAAAGAATTGTGAAAACCCAAACCGTTTCCCATTGGCGCCATTGTTTATCGCGCCCCTTATTTGAAAAGCCAAGGTCGGCTAATTGAAAAAAAAAATCAAGTTGCAACACATTTTCAACCAAAAACATGCCAAACAAATCACCAAAATCGGCGGAAAAATTCTTATATCAAGACATCAAGCCGCCAAAAGGGACGAAGTTGTCTGTTTTGAACCACAAAGGAGGCCGAAATTTACGTTGATCGAGCGGTCGGGCGTCGGGCGCACGTCGGCACTAACGTAATGAGAAGCGCGAGCCGGTTCATAGCCGCCAAATGCGGCATGCTTTTGTGTTGTTTTAGCCTGTTTATTCCAAGAACGTTTAATTTCTCATACAACTCATTTTTTAATCATTAAAACCGTGTCTCTACTTGTGTATTGTGCCTTTATTTTGAGTTTATTTCGACTGCGACACGGCGCTATCGCCGCATCAACACGCCAAACGTGCCGCGAAAAAACACCGCATGGAATGATGGGATACTGCTACCCACGCCGCGTCCGCCATCTTTGTTTACTTCCCTGAACGCTAATGCGAAAGATCCCCGTCAACTATCGCAAATTTCCATGTAACCTACGGACATCGTGTCAGCTAAAAAGTCATTAAGATTGAAATGAACAGTTTATTGTTGCATTAGTTACGATAATTTTCGTGTGCTAGCCGGAGTTTCTGAAAATCAAGCGATCGAAGTGATCCTTTGTGCTATCGACTGCTTTCATGACGATCGTCTGCATTTTTGTCTGTACGCTACTTGATTGAAGTTTTCCGTTGATCAAACTTTATTTTTTGCTACTTTTGTGATGTAAAAGTACGTACAGGCTGAGCATCGTGCATGTATTCGTTGATTCTTTTGTACGTAGCAAACGTAGCATTGTTTATTCGTTCGAGTGCCTGCCGAGAGCACATGATGTCTAACGTATCGCAGCGTTCTTCCAGCCTTGGAAAAAAATACGTAAACGAAAAAAATATGTCGACGAAAAAAATTACAAGCATATTTACCGATCTCAATAAAGTTCACTGTTTTTAATGCGTGAATATGACTCGTGTTTGTATTCTTTGTGTCGTTATTTGTGTTCAATGCCCTGTCCACCCCCCACCCCCATGAGTTTCAATGAAGGCCGAGAGTTTGAGCCTCAGAGTCTCTTAATCGGAAAGACCGGGTAATTGAAAAAAATGTGCTGACAAATTGGCTTTTCAAATAAGCGGCTTCCACTGTATTTTTTTTGTTCCAAATCAACTGCAAAATGCTCAATGAAAGACATATTTTGGCCTAAATGGTTGAAGAAAGTCCATTTCTTCCTAGTTTTTCAATGTATGCAATTTTGTTTCATTTTTTTTCAAGCTGTTTAATTATAAACCAGCTTGGTATGTTCACTTCATGGCTCATTTCCGGCCTTCATGGGGTGCCTTTGCCTGTTTTTTTTTCTTCGCCCTGTCGCTTCATATTTTTTCTTAAAAAATCCGAGTAACAACAAATTAAATTGGTGTGGCCTAACATAGCTAAGATACAGAATGAGCTCATTTCGGCATTTGGGGGCTTGTCATAAGTAAGTAAAATTAAGAAATAACCCACTTCTTTACTCTCAGCTTCTGACTGAGAAAGTGCTATTGCCAGCTCAAGCTCTTCCCTCTCCTGCAGTTCCAGGTCCTTCTGGCTAGGGGGCATCTGTAAACAAAACAAAAACGTACATGTTTGTCAGGGGGCAAGGACACGAACAAGAATCAGCAAATTGATTAAAGAAAGAAATCACAGTTTGCACATTAATAATTTCCACTGCAAAACAGAATTTGGCAAAAAATTGATTGAAATGTATCCATTTGAATCAACACACACAAACATCACAGCAAATCACATCACATCTTATAAAGTCATAATCTCTTTTTTTTTCAAAAATTTCTTTGTCTTTTTCTTGGCAACAGCTCTAATTGTATGCTGCTTTCTTTCAACTTGCTTTTGTGGAATTTGTTTTTTGAGCCAACTTAATATTGTCAACTGCTGACCTTACATACACATGTACATTGCACACTTGACGAAATTGCCAAAAAGCTCCACTCCAACTAAAATTATACTGTGAAATTTCACCATCATTTGTTGGTGATAGTTATGTTTACCGAAGGAAAACATATTGTTTTTACTCAGTTTCTTCCTCCTCTTCTGTTCCAAACACTAACCTCTGACCTGACCAATGACATGATTTGTTGACGTCTGTCACCATGGTGACTGGTGTTGGGTTACATAATGTTGCAATTTCACGGTCTGCTCTACTCCTGTCACCATATACTTGTAGTACATGTATGTGAATGTGTTTGAGTAAAAGTTAACAGGGCAGACCATGTCCGAAGGTAAACATTATGCATTTGCTTTGCAAATGTTACTTCTCTAGTTGATTGTTGATTTTCTTTCAGTATTCTTCATTAATTTATGGCTCTAGATCTACCTGAAACGAAAACCTCAACTTACCTACCACAAAAGTAGCAACACCACAAGTGGTTAAGAGACACGGCAAATGGAAGAAGGGAACATACATAATACAAAATGTTCTTACATGTCCTGACTCTCCTTTTACCTGTGATTGTTGTGACAGGGGGCTGTTCAGGTATTCGGGCGGGAGATCGTTCTCTCCGGTTTTTCCGGCCGCTTTACCGGCGGAGGGCCTGGAAAGAAGACCAGGGAGGCTGTTTGTGTGACAGCACTATGGTAAGCACAGTGGGATGACATCACATGTACATAAACAAAAGAAACACATCACAAAACTACATGTGCATGGGACACAAGGGAAACAAAAAGCTATTACATGTAGAACCTAATAAGGCAACACCAATTTAATTTCTTAATTGGTTATCGGATTCGCCTCTTCATTTTTTTCTGATTTGCAAAAAAAAAAAAAGATTCTGGTTTTGAATCAACTAGAAATGTGCCATATTTTGCCCCCAACAGTTAAGAAATTGTTCCTATTTTTTTCAGTTTTAACAGTAGTTAGAGTTTTTCCATCTATTAATCCATTGGTTTGATTAAAAGTTCAAAATTCATTGTTTGAATATCAACCCAGGGATGCCTAGACCTGTTTTTATTCTTATTTTTTTCACCCTGTCGCTTCATATTTTTTCTGAAAAAATCTGAGAACCAACAAATTAAATTGGTGTGGCCTAAGTAATATGACATCAACACCATTTATGTTCAAAAATTAATCATTAAGGATATTTTATGTACATTTTTAAAACTCACTGTGAATTCTAGCAAACATGTTATTAAAAAACAAAACAAAAAATACACGACAGGAAAGAAATATAACAAGCAAATATAAAGAAGACAGAAAAAGATAATACAACATTAATATTGCATACTTGTTGAGCTCCTCAAAGCAGGAATCACAGACTCGAACTTCCTTCTCGATGCCAAATTTGGGGATGATAGAATTCTTGGAGGAACACTTTCCACAGAAGACCTGACCACAGGCCCGACAGTGATGCTGGAGAGACAAAAGAAAAAAATCATCAAAACATCATGTACATTTTTAAAAACAACAGCTCAACTCCTTGTGAAAATTATGCAAAATCTGATCATTAGGCCACACCAATTTAATTTGTTGGTTCTCAGATTCACCTCTTGATTTTTTTCTGATTTGCAAAAATAAAAAGATTCTGGTTGTGAATCAACTAAAAAACGCTCATATTTTGCCTCCAACAGTTGAGAAAAGTCCTTTCCTACCTAGTTCCTACTGTAACAGTTTTCCATCTATCATCAATGCATTGGTTTGATTCAAAGTTCAAAATTCATTGTTTTAATATCAACCCAGCCTTTTGTGTTGACTTTTCATGGCTCCTTTTGTAGCATCTGGGGCTTTAATATGACACCAAGACCAGGTCCTGTTTTATTTTTTTTTTCGCCCTGTTGCTTTATATTTTTAATGAAAAAATCCGAGAACCAACAACTTAAATTGGTGTGGCCTTACCAGAATCCACTGTGTTCATGTTTACCATACCTTTCTTTGCACCATCCCAAACTGCACTCTACATCGATGGCACACATCCCCATCCTTCCACTCAGGAGCCTGGGAGTAAAGAAATATACTAACTGTTAAACAAAAATGACTGGAGTATATACAGGAATACAATTTTTGCACTTTGTCAAAATTGAAGAATTACAATTACAATGAAGTATATAATTGATATAAGTAACCTCCAAACCATCTTTTGCAAGTCAAGATTATGGTTCTGGAAATACTGGTAACAGCGAGCAGATTATTTTTATTCTAGTAGTCATCATCATCATCATAGCTTGTCGCCAATCCACTCCAGGGAATGTAGTAGTAGAATCTAGTAGTAAATGGCTAGAGCCACTAGTCCAGAGCACTTTGGACTAGTGGCTCTAGCCATTTACTACTAAAACCTACTCATCTGATATTTTGTGGAGAGATTCTCTGTCACCCAATGGACCATAATACCCTCCACTGAGACCCTTCATGCTTTATCTCAAGATTTTTTCAAGTGTCGAAATTTTTGCGAAGAATTTCCAAATTTTGACAAAAAATTTTGACAAAAAATTTTGACAAAAAATTTTGACAAAAAATTTTGACAAAAAAATTTGACAAAAAAAATTTAACAAAGAATTTTAACAAAAAATTTTGACAAAAAATTGACAAATTTTGACAAAAAATTTTGACAAAAAATCTCAAAAAATCAATCAACAAATTTTTGGATAGAAATAAGAAAATCTGTACAATTTCAATAATATAAATCTGAATATTTTGCCAAATGCAAAATGGTACATTTAATACTTGTGCTTATTGTTAAAATGACAGACCCATTCATTCCCTACCTTCTCAGCAGCAAACATAGCATCACTCTCCCTGAGCTCAGGAAAGGAGCATCCTTCCATCTTCATGATCTGATACGTGTCCTGCACCACGCGGTAGCTGGGCTCGTTACGGAAGGCGTGTGACCACACTTGGATCAGTTCCAGTACCTTGTTCCTAACATTCTCCGCAGATCTCTGCAAAATACATGATGAATATCTTTTATCTTTTTAGGCCACACCAATCTAATTTGTTGTTTCTCGGATTTTGTCAGAAAAAATATGAAGCGACAGGGCGAAATAAAAATAAAAAAACAGGCCAAGGCACCCCATGAAGGTCGGAAATGTTACGATATGAGCCATGAGGTCAACATACCAGGCTGGTTTATAATCAAAACAATAGATTTTGAACTTTAATTCAATGAAATAAAGTTGCATTGATACATTGAAAAACTTTAACAACTAGGAAGAGAAGGACTTTCTTCAACTGTTGGGACCAAAATAATTGTCTTTCACAGCGTGCAAAATATCTGGTTGCCCAGTTGCCCCGGGCAACCAAATTTTACTTGGGGCAACCTATTTTTGAACCTAGGTAATCCAGTGTGCTACCTGAATTTTAAGAAAAAAAATCATGCCCACTTGGCTTGCACGACTGTATCCAGCAGATTCTTTTAATTTTAGGTATTAATGGCTATTACTAGTATCAGTTAACTAAAGGCTGTTAGAAATATTGTCAAAGGCCTATGTATGTAATATTATTTGATTTGAGGAAAGTAGTAACTTATAGGTGGGGCAACCTAAAATTCTGATGGGCAACCTAATTTTTGCCGTAGGTTGCCCACTGGGCAACCTGGTTCAAACAAGTATTTTGTACAATGTAACAAAAAAGACTGGAGGCAGCAAACATTATTTAGGACATACATATATGGATGTTTTCTAGTTCACAGACTGAAACTGGTATTTCGATCTGGTAGCATGTTTTCATGTACAGTTCAGATTGTGTCTGGGCATGTCATTTTTCCTTGGTGATTAAGCATAGTTTCTACAGTCTGGTATGCTGTTATACATGTTATAGGAGTCTGCATAGCAATATGCATTTTGGACCACAGCCAATCTAGATCTCTAGCAGAACCGAAATCGAAAATGACTTTAGCTGTCAGAACTTATTTACGAGAATGTCTTCAGTGTAACATTTCAGAGCACATTTGTCACCATGTTATCATCTCTTTCCAACAAAGTAGAGCTACAGCAGTGTACAACAATTTAATTTGTTGGTTCTCAGATTTTTCCGGAAAAAAATGAAGCGACAGGGCAAAAAAAAATAAAAACAAGGTTAGGCATCCTTTTACAGCCCCGAATGCTACGATAGGAGCCATGGAGTAAACACAAAAGGCTGGGTTGATATCTAAACAATGAATTTTGAACTTTTAATCAAACCACCGCATTGATAGATGGAAAAACTGTAGAACTAGGAAGAAAAGGACTTTCCTCAACTGTTGGGGGCAAAATATGACCATATTTGAGTTGATTCAGAACCAGAATCTTTTTTTTTTTTTGGCAAATCGGAAAAAATGAAGAGGCGAATCCAAGAACCAACAAATTAAATTGGTGTGGACTAACATGTATAAAATGATACTTACTCTAAGTCTAATATAACTTATTATAAGGCAAGAAGTGTTTGTATACCTTAGCCAAGTCTCTCATCTCTTCCATCACCTCCTTCTGAGCGATCTCCTGGTGGACAGGTGAACCACAGTTCTTCACTACAGACTCTAACACCTGAGGATTGGATAAGTTACAGTTTTACATCACTAGTATTAGAAAGGTAACATTTGCAAAGCGAATTCATAATGTTTACCTTTGCATATGGTCTGCTTTGTTAATTCTTATTCACATTCATATATATGGTGACAGTCTAAATCCCTCCTGCTATAAAACTGCAACATGATGTAACTCAACACCAGTTACCATGGTGACAGACGTCTGGTTCAGGTCATTGATCTTACAAATGTATTTGTTTGGAGAAGAAGAAGAGGAAACAGAGCAAAAACAACAAGTACATTCTGTACATATAATTATCAAGCTTGGTCACTGTACAATAAAGCCATGCACTTACATTGTACATGTATATGGTATGCATCTGTACCAACATGTAGTTACAAAAATGTAAGCGATACCCTTTCAGCCTATAATTGGCATACACCATTGTATTACTCCTTCACATTTTCAAACATCTACTTCTCAGCTGTAATTTTCCTTCATTATTTAACATTCTCATTGTCATTTAGTCAACAAAATTTTTGGGAGAGCATTACGTTAACTAGTGTTACATGTACAATGTACTAGGTGTAGAACTACATAAATTTTGTACGTGTTTCCATTCCATATTTATCCTGCAGCCCACAGTCTGACAAGTAATCATATTACACACACTGAGTGTTGTACATAATTGAACACTATGAAACAGAGATGCCATTTCTAGCATTTCACCAATAATAAAGCTGCTTAATACTGGCAATCCGGAAAGATAGAATTGATACATTTTCTTAAGAAATCATTTCAAGTTAGTCTACAGTGTTACTGAATGCATACTCGACAGTATCACTTGCACTTTGTACAGGGACAAGTTATGTATGCTGATAAGATATGCAGATAAACATACTGGCATGTATGTGGTCTTAATTGGCAAGAGAGGGCCCAGGGGTATGTTCAATTTAAAGATACAAACAAAATATCACAGGTGCCATTCTCTCTGTCTAGTTTTAGTTTATAATGTTCTTAGTTATGGGATATACTTACCTGCAGTGCGTAGAGAGAAACATGTGGGTTTCTGTCATATACTTTCTTCCTGATGGCAGGGATCGCATATTTGGGCCTGAAAAAAAAAAAATTCAAAACGACAGTTTAGATGGTAATGATCACATTGATACAAACAAAAGCATCATAAGACATTAACACATATTTGTTTGGGATGCATTTGTCTACAATAATGAATAACTGTTTCATCACTATTTGGTAACTACTGCACCAGAGAATAGCACAACTAAATATAGGTGTACCTCACTTTGCTAATTGACTAGTCCTTGGGGATGATACACTGCTTTACAGGGCTTTCCCCAAGCAATGAAGCAAGGGTGCACCCCCTCTCTCCAAAATCCTAGCTCCGCTCCCAAAATGTTCAAATTTAAGGTTTTCTCTTCGTAATTTCATGAAAATTTGCTGACCAACTGATTAGGGAGAGCCTCTACGGTCTACCCTAAAAATTTATGGGGAGACCCCTGTTTAAGCATATGCCACATTTAGAACCGTTCACAGTACAGTACAGCCTTGGGTCTCTCTAGCTATTAGCTAGACTGCTGATTTACTATTACATTGTATTATGACAAAACTTACGTGACATCCCCCTGTCTGATAGAGTCACAGATCTGTAGGGTGGCATCCCAGTCTGGCTCCAGCAGCAGCTGGCTCGTGGCTTTCTCTGAAACACGCAACACATTTGATGGGCAAAACTGTACCTTTTGTATGTACATTAGGATTTGGCGCTCTCACCGCCAAGGCCTGGGTTCGATTCCCGGTGTGGGAACCACTGTAAGAAACAAGTCTAGAGGAGCGAGTAGAAATAGATAAAAACCCCTGGTCCCGGGTTGGGGTTCGAACCCATGACCTCCCGAGAACCAGTTTCAGACTCCAACGCTCTAAGTCTACCTCCTTGGTTGGTAGCGCCTATGAACCCCCCACTGTTACACAATGCATAAAATACTTAGTAGCATAATTGGGGTCAATTTATCTTAAACATAATAGAATTATCACAACATTGATATGTACAATGATCTGACTCTGAGTATCAGAATATATTTTCTACATACATGTATTTGAAGATCTACTTAACGTTTTACCAACAGATGTATTTTTGTTGTTGTCATCTGAATGTGATATTGATAACTCACACAGCTAGATATACATGTAATATGATGTATACGTGTATATTTGTTAACAATATACACGTATGATAACATAATAGAATTTCCACAAAATTGATTATAATGTAAAAAGATCTGAGTATTTAGAATATTTTTTTTTACATATCTTAAGATGCACTTAACGTTGTACCAAGTGATGTATTTTTGTTGTTGTCATCTGTACGTGTACAACGTGATGTTGATGACTCAGAATCAGATCTAGAATTGTCGCCCATGAATAAATTATTGGGTAAACACTTGATTGGCAAATTTCTCCTTTGTTCAATTCAATCGATATTCCCATCTCTTAAAGCCAAGAATACAAGAAGAAATGCTATCGTCTAGCAAAATTAAATAATATTTCTGAACTGAAGAATAATATATAATATTAACGTTATCAACACTGTTCATAAACATAGCATCAGCAAAATAGTAGAAGAACACTCAGTCGTTTTTATCTAATACGGGCCTATGTTAAAGCTTCTTGGACAAAGAGTTTGATGTTCAGAACTTTCAGGAGATTATTAAAAGCATCTAAAAAGCAAAGGTGTTAACAGACGACCGGATATTGCGGAGTTAAAAATCATGACAATCAAAAAACCTGGTGAGTCGTTTTGCGAAACGATTGTGATCTAGTCGTTTCCCGACAGGAATAAGAAGAAATTTGCGCCAAAAAAGGCCAAAAAAAAGATCAGAAGGCAAGTTTCACCATTCTCCTACCTAAAAGTCTGTCGAAATTCCCTCCTCGGAACATCTTTGGGCGATTTTCCTCCCCAAAAACTGCAGGAGTGGTGATCAGAGTCAGCTGAAATTTACTTCTTCCTAATCCAATATGGCTTCCCGTGACCATGACGTCATCAGCCAAATTTCGCCATTTCCTGAACGAAATTTGACTCCAATATATAAAATTTATCAATTATTACACATATACCTTTCTCAGAAGCATCTAAGAAAGGATAATTTCAATATCTTAACAATAATGAAGAAAAAAAGCAAGCAATTTGGGGTCAATCTAGGGTCACGACCTTTCACCCTAAACCCGGAAGACATTCCAGACCCAGAGCTCACCTGGCCAAGAAAAACAGAGGCGTTTTTCTTGTAATATCTACCCCGTTCCTCGCTCTTCTGGAAAGATGTGTCTTCTCGTGGGACCCCAGGGTGTTGGGAAGACGCTGCTTTTGAAACGACTCCAATGTATCCTTTGTTTTGTCCTTTGAAAATGTCTTTAAAAGGGGTAGAAGTAACATGACAATGTAGGTCGTATATTTTCATGTATCTGTAGCTACAAAATTTGTATTATACATCTACATGTAGTGCACATCTAAGTACGTACTGGAACCTGTAGGGATTGTACTTTGTACATGTACATTGTACTTTTCTCACTTCTTTGGATCCTTAACAATAATTTAACAGTTCTGTCAGGGAAGGACAAGCTGGGAGATATGGAGGAGGCACCGGCTACAATTCCTACAGTGAGATCTATGATTATGATTCTATTATTGATAACATACTGTGATATACTAGTACACTGCTTGTAGTTCTGTACTGCTTGCAACTTTATAACAACATTTGGTCGCCTATATACAGAGGTAGTAGTGTAATACTTTGTAATACAACTTTACAAGATTTAGCTTTTTTTTTTATCTTTTGGTCTGTTCAAAACTTTCCTGCACCTATATACCAGGATTGTCTGATCTCTTTGTTGTCATCAATCAAAATCATCAGTTGACCAATGCTCTTGTAAGCTCTTTTTGTAAGCGTCTGGATGCAACAATAATGTGCAAAAATTCAGCACTAAAAACCAATTTTATGCTTCAAACAAGTGACTTTTGCTCAGTTGTCAACCTAGAAATTTAGTTGTAGACATTTACATGTGCATGAGTTGACCTGTCTTTACTTTGCCTAGGTGGGAACCAACCTTGTGAATGTCCAAGTTGGCAAGAAGACGGACTTGACAGTTCGAGAACTAGGCGGCAGTATGGGACCAATATGGCACAGCTACTACAAGGACTGCAAACTACTATTGGTGAGATTTAATTATTGATTTTAATTGAGTGAGTTAGGAACTGTCTTTTCCTGATATAAAACTACATGTTACAGTGTACACTGTACATGTATGTGACTTTATTATGTTTCCCTTTGCAGAGGGAAAATATATTGTTATGTTTACCGAAGGAAAACATATTGTTTTTACTCAGTTTCTTCCTCCTCTTCCGTTCCAAACACTAACCTCTGACCTGGCCAATGGCATGATTTGTTGACGTCTGTCACCATGGTGACTGGTGTTGGGTTACATAATGTTGCAATTTCATGGTCTCTTCTACTCCTGTGACCATATACTGGTAGTACATGTATGTGATTGTGAATGTATTTGAGTAAAAATTAACAGGGCAGACCATGTCCGAAGGTAAACATGATGCATTTGCTTTGCTCTGTTTCTTCTTCTTCCTCTTCTTGTCCAAACAAATAAGGTCAATGACCTGAACCAGACGTCTGTCACCATGGTGACTGTGGTGTTGGGTTACATAATGTTGCAAGTGCCATGCAGAACTGAGTTCAAGAGGGGCTGCATGGTCACCACATATATAAATGTGTTTGAGTAAGAATAAACAAAATTTTGTTATGCTAGACCAATTGTGAAGGTAAACATTATGCATTTGCTAAATGCAAATGTTACCTTTCTAGTTCTTTTCATGCCTTCCCTTCCTCAGCCTGTACAATTAAATCTTACAACATTCTATGAACTTATATGACCTCTATGAACTTATATTGTACGTGGTATTCGGCTTATATTATATATGACAATGTTCTGTTCCAGTTCATGGTAGATGTTTCCAATGCAGCCCAGCTGTCAGCTTCCACTATCCAACTGTTGACAACTTTAACAGACGACAGACTACAGGATGTGGCAGTTCTTATTCTACTGAACAAAGTGTATGTATCTCTTTTAATATATAGCTGGATATTTTCATCATATACTCAAGTACATCAGTATACGCTGGTATACCTGACCAGATATTATGTTTAACGAAGGAAAACATATTATTTTTGCTCTGACAAATAAGGTCAATGACCAGAACCAGACGTCTGTCACCATGGCAACTAGTGTTGGGTTACATCATGTTGCCATTTTATCTCTCTCTCTCTCTCTCGTCCCGTGACCTCAGAGGTCGTAGGGGCATCACGACATCCAGCAGTGATCCAGGCCCATCCTGTCCTGTCCTCGGCCTCCCTGATCAGTTGTGCTGTGCTCAGGCCAGTCCACTTCTTGATGTTGTCTAGCCAGGTCTTTCTTGGCCTTCCCCGCTTCCTTCCTCCAGCTACGGTGCCTTGCAAGATGGTCTTCGCCAGCGTGTTGTGTCGGCAAACGTGCCCGAACCACATCAGCTTCCGCTGCTTGACAGTTGACAGGAGGGATTGTTGTTTGCCGCAGACTTCCTCTACTTCCTGTCGCACCGACTCGTTGGTCCTCCGTTGCAAGTAGGAGATGCCAAGTATCCTCCGTAAGCACTTCATCTCGAAGGCTTCTATACGGCGCTCTGCTTCTGCTGTTGTGGTCCAGCTTTCACAGCCGTAGAGGAAGATGGATGCAACAAGTGACTTGTAGAGGTTGATTTTGACTGGCAGGCTGATGTTCTTACTCTGCAGGATGGGGCTTAGTTTAGCAAGTGCTGCTGTTGCTTGTGCAATTCTTGCTCTGATTTCCTGTGTGGATGTACCCTCCCTGTTCAGGATCGAGCCGAGGTATTTGAAGGAGTCCACATCTTCAAGGACTTCGCCGCCCATAGACACCGTAGTTCTTGCATCTGGTGTTGGGCCATTGATCATGCCTTTGCTCTTAGATGTGCTGACTTCCATACCATAGGCGGTACTCCTGCTTTCCACTCGAGTTGATAGGTTTTGGTGTTCGTCTTCAGAGCCCGCCATCAAGTCTATGTCGTCAGCAAAACGCAAGTTAGAAAGTTGTCTTCCCCCTATGGAGATGGATGATTCAAAGTCAGTCAGAGCTTCTTGCATGATGTTTTCTAGGAACACATTGAAGAGAGCTGCCATTTTATAGCAGGAGGGATTTAGACTCCTGTCTCACCATATATATGAATGTGTTTAACAGAGCAGACCATATGCAAAGGTAAACATTATGCCTTTGCAATGTTGGGATTTGGTGCATCTGTAGGGTACTAAAAGGTTTGCATATAAACTTTTGTCTACTGTTTTTTTTTCTTTTTCAGAGACCTGCCATCATCCATGACACTCACAGAGCTGAAAAGTTTGATGAGATTGGAGGACATTGTTTGTCATGCTAAACAGAAGGTCACAGTTCTAGAAATAAGTGCCAGAGAGGGACAAGGCCTGCTAGAGACTATAGCCTGGCTTAAGGACCATAACAAGTAAAGAACAGTAATGTTATGTGTATACAACAAGTTTAGTTACTATGTGCCCCAAAGAAGTTTATCTCATTTTTACATAGAAGGATTTTATATTTAGGCCACAGCAAGTAAATCTTATGGTTGACATCCCCCTCAGACTCCAAATCTAATGCAATAGGCGAAAATTAATGTGTGCGCTGATGTCATCCATAAAAATTACTTGCTGTGGCCTAATGTTATGTATATACATGTAGTTACTATGTGCCCAAAAGAGGTTGATCTCATTTATACAAAGAAGGATTTACATTTATGCTACTTGTGTGGAGCAGGCTCTCTTCAACACTGTTATTTTCAACAGTAACTATCAGTGATTTTGTGATGCCACACATTGTGTTCCCTGTTACAACCAATGTTTTTGAAAAGAAGCAACTACAGTGAAACAGAGACATAGCATTCACTGTCATTAATAAAACTTTTTATTTTTCTGTATTTTCAATGTTTATTTTGTCTCTTCATTGTCTGTGATGCTGGTGCCAAATGTCTGTCCAGTACCCATTGCTGACTAGTGCTGTGTACCTAAACCCACATTTAGGTTCAGGTTCAGATTCAAGTCCAAAGGTTTAGGTCCAGTTCCGGATCTAAACCCATGACATGGGCAACACTTTTGCCACATAACATGGAGGCCGACAGTTGACAATGCCCGATGGCAATGTTTTCTTTATTTTGCAACTGCAGCACAGATTTTATAATCTATGGAAGGTTTGGAAAGAAAGAAATGAGGTATTGTATGTGACTTTTTTTTTGGTAATAAGTAGGGAATTGGTTCTTGACTTTTAGGTTTTTTTGGACTTGAACCTAAACATTTTTACAATACAAGTCTGGAACCAGTCCAGCAAACCGGTATACAGCACTATTGTTGGCTGCATCTTATTCTATTACCGGTATCTTGACAACACTGCTGCATTGCAATTAAGTGCAATGTTACGTTACCTTCCACGTACAACACTTCATATTACAGCTACTATAAACGTAACTATGTTATATCATATCATCTTGACAAGCTTGAATCTCCCCACTTGAGGCTCTGGAACAACATGAACAAAAGTCCTGACAACGTTTTCTCTTTCCTCTGGCTCTATCTTCTTGACCACACACTTGTACAAGTGGCTCATGAAGTGGGGTCGTAGAACCTCCTTGGTGAAACGCACATAGCCAGGTTCAAGGGCATACAGGGTGTTGAAACGACCAGTACCAACCTGAAAGAAAGAAAATACATGTATAACGTTATATTTGAACTCCACAAAAGTAAATCCAATGACTTACTTAGGCAGGCCTTAAAAATAACTTTCCTTCCTATTGTCCCAGCACTGTCCCAAAAATAAATTTCAATTGTCCCGAAGTGAGGTTGAACTGTCCCAACATGTTCTTTGGGAAGTAGTGTATGACTTCAACTTGAAGTCAACTTTATTTTGCTTATGTTCACTCCCAGGAGCACTTATTGCAGAGTAGACAGAAAATTTGGGGGGACTATTCCGGATTCAAAAGCCAGAATGTGTGCCTGATAAACAAAAAAAGGGCTGACATTGATTCTGATGTTGATTAGTTTTCTATTGTCCCAAAAATGTACCAAAGTGTCTTTTTAGTTGTCCCAGCCTAAATTTTAGTGGTCAGTGGCCATTGGACCACCTTTAATTTCGAGCCCTGCCCTGTTAGGTCTATTATACATGTACATAGGTCTATAAAACATCACATTGTAACAGGGTTCGAAATACAAAGGTGCAATGTGCAAATTGCACGTAATTTTCAAGATTTGCACCTAAAAATATTTTGAATGTGCAATTTTGCACCTGGACAATACCGATATATCATGTTTGCACTGCGTATCTCCGAAGTTTCTTGTGTGTCGGCATCGCGCTGGGCGCATGGCAGCCATATTGTTTTCTTTACTGAACATCCTCATCCTGGGAACAAGCTGCTCTCGTCCCCAGGTGAAGACGCGAAGGCCTACGTAGCTGATTTACCAAATATGGTGAGACCCGCGAAACTTGTTGCCCGATGTGGTACGAAGTCCTTCGGCAGAGTAATTTCGGCTTTTTCGTCCAATTTTCGGTAAAATTCGGTGAAAAACAGAGTTTTCGGATTTCCCAGCATTCAGTGCTACCCAGGAAATTTGTAAAGCATGAAGAAGGGCCCATGAAGAAGGGGTCGATTTTCAAGTTCTTTTCACGGGCCCAGCCGGCATCAGAGGCTGGTGCAGCCGGTGGCGGTGGACCAGAGGCTGGTGCAGCCGGGGGCGGTGGATCGGGAGATGCCACCGGGTCCACCGTCTCCGAGGATCCCGCGGCCGATGTTGACGACGCGCCCCCAGAGGAGGGGGAGGGGAGCGCCAAGAAGCAAAAATTAACCGGACGTTATTTTTTTCTAAGCAGTATTTTTTTTTCCTTATATCGTGCACGATATTCAAGGTAAACAAATATGCAAAATAAATGAAATTTATTGCTCGCATACTGTTGGTAAATTTTTTTTATGACGAGTGAGAGGGCCGGGGGTCACTAGCGGCGTCCTTTGAAGCTAATGCCGACAAATTTTTTTTGTGTTCTTTTTTTTATAAACACAGATGATACTTGCATTGTTCATGTTTTGTTTGGTCCCTTCTTTTTAATGTATACTAAAACTTCTATATGCAGTGGCAGGCTAAGAAGGTTGATACACAGTAAAACAGTTCCAAACCTAAAGATGCAAGGCTAAATATAATTTTGCACATAAATTTTTCAAATTGCACCTAAAAATTTTGCCAATGTGCAATTTTGCACGTACCTGAAAAAAAGTATTTCGAACCCTGTTGTAATAATAACATTGTAATAATAACGTTAAAGTCGTTGTAAATAATGCCTGTGTTAATGCCTGTGTAAATAAATGTAAATAAATGTGTAATGAATTTGCATGTACAACTGGACGTAATTCAGCCTTTGGCTGCAAAGTCCACGTTTTTTATAAATAAAACACCATTTGATTGATTGATTGATTGATTAATAAACAGAACATGGTACTTACAAAGGCCCCAGGATGCCACTTGTATCCCCTCTGTATCGCAATAATACTTCCTGCCTGGGCAAATTCACCTGAAAGAGGGAACCCAGCATGAGGTTAGTATCTGCTTCTAGCACTTCCTTTTTTAACATTCATGTCCTTTTTAATTTTAATTGCATGAAAAACTATTTGCACATGTTGCACACTACTAGTATGCATGGCAACTGATCAATGTGCTACTAAAAAATTTATTTTTCACAATATGTTAAAATTGAAATAGCAGGAAAACTTACCTTCCCGTATTTTCAGACCAAGTCCCTTGCCCCTGTGTTTTCTGGGCCTCACGGCAGTGCTCCCTCCTTGCTTCTTGGAGGCCCATCTCACCCCAAAAACGGACAGGGGTGCCCCAACCAGAGTTGTCAAACCTGAGAAAAAAAGGGAAAAAAAACATGGAAAATAATCCTCATCGACGTTAACTCACAAATAATCATTCTCTGCGAGACTATGAAACTCTGGAATACTTGCCTGAAGGAGAAAACGGAGCCAAAAATCGAGAAAAATCAGAGTAACATTTTCGCACGATGGCAGCCATCTTTGTCAGTAAAGGTCGTGACCTTTAGTTACGCGCCCTTTATAAAAATTACTCCGCTGAAATCTTGCAAGAAAATCAGCCAGACACACAAACAAAAGGCGTGGTTCTGTTCCTTTTTGTTCTCAGATCTCTTTTTCTTTTTTTATGTTCACTACTTTCACTTCAACTTGAATTTGACAGTCGGTAAAATGATGAGATTTTGAGACGTATTTTTCGTGTGCGCAGGTTTATAAGTAAGGGAAGTAAACCGGCAAGATGGCGGCATTTTAAAAAGTTGTGTTGCGACTTGCCCAGTTTTGGATGGAACTTTACCAAAGCTATTTCATCAAAAATGGGCGATAATTTTCCTTCAGAAGCCGATATTGATCAGGTTTTGGCTGTGTGTCCTGAACTGGACACAAACGACGTGCGAAGGGACCTGAAATATACTAGAAATGTTGAGTTGACGGTGAACAGAGCCCTGGACGGGAGGGTAAGTTTTGTGTCACCTCAGCATGTGGTGTAACTAATTTGTAGCAGATGTGGGGAGGGCGCAAATTATACTGTAAATGCAGAAATATTCGCGCTGTTTTTTTGGCGACGTCTCAGGGGCGGAGCCGTTGGTATAGTACTGCGATTGAGTTGAAAATAAGAATTCCACGAATGCATTCCCTAGGGAATTAAATTTTGTCAACAAGTCAAGATAACTCAAGAATGTGGTGTGACTAAATCAAGAAATGATGATATTTTGGGGCCCCTACGGCCCTAGTGGCTTCCATTGGTACTGCAGCAGAACTCTGGTCTGACTATCTGCAATATTTTAAACAGTATTTCGACCGCTGAATTTTTTTCTGACAAATGATTTTGTAGCAAGCACTTCTGTTGCTGAAAATAATGCTAAATTTATCAATTTTATCAGGTGCTGTAACTTATTTGATGTTGACGAATACTAACTCAGTAACTGCAATGCTCTGTTCTGTACAGTTCTTTCATGGACCTCAAGTATTTGACCTGTTAGATGTAGCAGACCAGCCTACAGTAGAACAGCCAACATGTGACAGCAGCACTGACATCAACTCTGATGACGACAATGATCTCCCCAACATCACACTACAACCTACAGCCTGTACCAGTAACATTAGGTACGCATCTACAAGTCTAGTGGCGTCGGGTGGTGTAGTGGTAAGAGCAATCGACTATGAAGCAGGGAGACCCAGGTTCGATTCTGAGTCGTACCCGGAACATGTCTGAACATGCGCCCCGACGTTGTGCCCTTGGGAAAGGCACCTTACACAAATTTCCTCACTCCACCCAGGTGTGAATGGGTACCTAACTTCAGTTGGGGAAAGTCGTATTGAGGTCACTTTGTGGCGCCGAATGGCAGCCGCATAGACCCTTGCGACAGTTCCACAAAAATAATTGTGGAACAAATATGTGTATCATGTGTATTATTTCATTGTTGTAATTGTTGTGATCTAGAATGTGATACCCTGCATTAATTCAGTCGTATAAAGGCTGCGACTGCACGGGTACTGTTTGGACAATAAAAACCTTTTTTTTTTTACAAGCAGGAAAGACATAAGTAGTGACAGTGACTCTGATTCTGAGCCAAGAAGTTTCCAACTACTGAAGAAGAAACAGGTATCCCCTGCAAAACAGAAAAAAAGCAGCAATGTGGCTTTGAAAGGAAACACAAGACATGCAGTTAACTCTACAGCAAAAAACTCATCAGGAAAACATACCTTTGCCTCACCCTCAAAGTCCAGTGACCACATGTACGTTGAAGATGATGTGATATCAGTGGAATCGAAGTCATCCCCAATGGAAAAGTACAACACCTTCAAGAGGCATCCTCGAGACCTGTCTCCAAGTGCCTCATCAAGCTCGGAAGACGACGTTCCTCCAAGAAAACTTCAACGAGAAGAAGCCAAGCCAAGTCCTAACACAAAGTCTTCCGGAAAACAGGCTACCTTGAGTAAAAAATCTGCCGCTTCCTCTGTTGTAGCTATTTCGAGTAGTGACAGTGACAGTGATGACGATAAATGGAGAGTGCCTCTCTCATGCAGGCTTAATATTTCAAAAGCAACTCCTGCAAATAACATTAGCTCAACAAAAGGTGGTTCATCTGATGAAAAAGGCTCTTATGCAGTTGGTAAGTCAAGCACTGTAACAACTCCACCAAGAAGTGCCACCATAGTTAATAGTGTCAGGGATGGAGAAAGTGGTTTGACTTGCAGCAGTCAAAGGAGTGGTGAGTCGGACTCTCAAGGCACCAAGAACGTCAACAAAGGAAAGAAGAGAAGCCCTGAGGAGATACAGGAACGAAGAAGACAGGCTTTGGTAAGAATTTTTATGGGTTCACCACACCACGAAGTGGTGGTGAACCCATATTGCTTTTTCTGATGTTTCTTCTCCTCCTTCTCCTCCTTCTCCTGCCATTTTTTAAATGGATTCAGCTTCTTCATTTTAGGGCCCAAGGTTCTGAAATTTGGTATGGAGGTACAGTGGGCAAATACCCCTAGGTGTTTTTTAAATTTTTGTGATACGGGCTTTTAGAATGGTTTTATTTGAGTTTTTTGGCTGTGTTATAGCAAATGTATTAATGTGTTAGTGTGCCGTGTTTACCACGTTTGGGCATGAGTCATCACAATGGAATGCAGGGCATCAACCAATAGGCATGCAGCTTTCCTCTATTCTTCTTGCTGATTGGCTGTTGGGATTTAACTTGATTAACACCTGCACAGAGCATTTCCACCTGCACAGAGCATTTCTTGCTGATTGGCTGTTGGGATTTAACTTGATTAACACCTGCACAGAGCATTTCCATACTGACAGTATGTCTGTATTCAAGTGTTTTGGTAGGTATTTCAAGCTTTCCTGCTCCAGCATTGGAATGCGGGGCATGGACGTTTTTTTTTATTTGAAAAATCAAACNGTTTTGCATTTATGGCCAATT